CCTTGGGCTTCACACTTCTGAAAAGTCAGGATGTTTATTTGCACGCACAGGTCACAACGCCGATGTCTGTTCCCTCGCTGCTCGGCAGGCAGAGGCTCCTGTTTGTAGCCTGCTGGGAACACCAGGGACTGAGGCTGCGAGACTGCTGGCAGTCCTGCTCCGTGTCAGACAAGCCAAAACACCTGTGACGTTCTGGGGGGGAAAGAAAGAATTTTAGGAGGAAAACCTCATGGTTTCATGAGAGGTAGAGTTGGAGAAAGGGTGGGGTTTTGAGGGTAAAAACAACTTTTGAGAGAAAACAGTGATGATGGGGTGGAACTGTCGTGAGTTGATACTGGGGGGCTACCGGCTGTCAGGTGCTTTTGTGAGTTCCCCCCCAGTGTGGAGGGGTTGTTGAATGAGACCGAGGGTCACACGTGGCGCTGCTGCGGGACCGTGTTTTAGAGTGATACTTTGATTCACCCCCACCGCGCTCACAAATCGCTACTGCGACCGATGTTTAGTACACAAATTAATCGGTTTATTAAGGGTTATTAATCAGGTCCGAGCGCCGCTTGGCTCCTTCCCCCTCGCTCTCCCCTGCGCGCCCCGCAGCCCGAGGCGCCGGGACAGGCAGGTGCCTGCGGGAACCTGCGCACCTGCGCACGGCTGCGCGTACAGGGCGCGGGCACATGGGCACGTCCCCCCAGTAGTGCCCACATGAGCCCCAAGTTAGGGTGGTGACAATTGTATGTCTTGTTGCCCATCCTTTCTGTCCCGTACCACATCTGTTGTTTTGGTTTCTGTTGTCCTTGACTAGCCAGTCTGGTTTAGTCCATTAGTTCAGAATAATCACCAGAGGCCTTCGCTGGCTTAAAAGGCATTTTGTTTAGACTTATGTGAGGAAGAAAAGAACAGTTTCCCACAGGAACGCTTCATTTTGTGGAGGATTTAGAATCATAGAACTATTCAGGTTGGAAAAGACCCTTGGGATCACCAAGTCCAACCATCATCCCTACTCTAAGAGTTCTCCTCTAAACCACATCCACCTACACCACATCCAAACGACCCTTAAACACATCCAGGCTAATTACCTGTGAAAAGAGACCAGCACCAGCCTCTCTACAATGACTTTTCAGGTAGTTGTAGAGACTGATGAGGTCTCCCCTCAGCCTCCTCTTCCTCAATCTAAACATTCCCAGCTCCTTCAAGCATTCTTCATAAGATTCTTTCTCTAGCCCCTTCACCAGCTTTGTTTCCCTCCTCTGTACTCGCTCCAGCACCTCGATATCTCTCTTGAATTGAGGTGCTGAAAACTGGACACAATACTCCAGGTGTGGCCTCACCAGTGGTGAGCACAGGGGGACAATCACCTCTGTACTTCTGCTGGTCACACTATTTCTAATACAAGCCAGGATGCAATTGGCTTTCTTGGCCACCTGGGCACACTGCTGGCTCATATTCAGCTGCTTGTCAATTAGAGCCCCCAGTTCCTTTTCTGCCAGACACTTTCCAGCCACACTCCTCCAAGCCTGTAGCATTTCATGGGGTTGTTGTGGCCCAACACTGAGCCCTGAGGAACACCACTTGTGACCAGTTACCAACTGGATTTTACTCCATTGAGCACTACTCTTTGGACTTGACCGTCCAGCCAGTGCTTGATCCAACAGATCGTGTGCTCATCCAGGTCATGAGCAGCCAGGTTTTTATGAGAGTTCTATGGGGAATGATGTCAAATGCTTTTTGGAGGGAAATTTGAGGAAAAAAAAATGAGGGAAATGATTATTTTTAAGGGAAAAATAAGCAGGGCTGGGCTTTGCAGCCACAGAAGCAGCAAATTTGGTTTGGAGAAAACAAAGAGGTTGGTTTTGCAAGGGGGGAAAAGGTGCTCTGCCAAGCACATTTGCTGTGGGGACTGGTTTTTTGGGGACAGATGCTGTGGCTCTGCAGATGTTTTAAATGTATTGCTACCCAGCTTAATGCTCCCTAAATTACCTTATTTTCAAAGTCTTTATAAACACAGTTTAGCAATTAGAAAACAGCACAGAATTACACTTTTAAATAATAAAAACAGTATTACAAGAGAGAGTGCTTTCTTAAGTAGATTATGACTCAAAAATACTTTTACTCAAAGAACTGAGATGATTATTACGTAAATGAAACTTCTGAAATGTTGTAACAGGAGTATGTGTAGGATTTGAAGCAAGTCCCATAAGACCCCATAAGGAGCAATTACCTATACTAAGAGCACTTGGGCAACTTCTTTGCCTCATAGCCTCAGCTGCAGGACACAGAAACAAAACACAGCACTGCTTCTTTTGGAAGTGAGAGGAGATGGGAGAAAAAACATTAGGACAAATTGCCACTGGCACCCAAGTACCTTTGTTTTGAACAAGTCTTCCATCCTTACCTCAGCAAAAGCCTATTTCATGCACACTGAATCCATCTTGAATAGAAAGGGCTAGTGTTTCACTTGACCCTTTATCAATACAAAATCATATGTAACATAGGAATATAGAATCATAGAATGGTTTGGGTTGGAAGGGACCTTAAAGATCATCTAGTTCCAACCCCCCTGCATGAGCAGGGACACCTCCCACTATACCAGGCTGCTCAAAGTCCCATCCAACCCAACCTTGAAAACTTCCAGAGATGGGGCATTCACAGCTTCTCTGGGCAACCTATCTCGCACCCTCACAGTGAAGATTTTCTTCCCAATGCCTAGTGTAAATCTACCCTCTTCCAATTTAAAGCCATACCCTCATCCTGTCCTTACATACCCTTGTAAAAAGTCCCTCCCCAGCTTTCCTGTAAGCCCTCTTCAGGTACTGGAAGGCCACTCTAAGGTCTCCTTGGAGCCTTCTGTTCTCCAGGCTGAACAGCCCCAACTCTCCCATCCTGTCTTGAAAGAAGTGCTCCAGCCCTCACATTACCTTCATAGGCCTCCTCCGGACTTGCTCCATCAGAACTGGACACAGTACCCCAGGTGAGATCTCATGAGAGCAGAGGAGATGAATCACCTCCCCCGAACTGCTGGTCATGATAAGCCAATTCATCAAGAAGTCATGCTTGACCAATGAGATAAATCTCTATAATGAAATAAATGATTGGCTTGTTAGATGAGGGAAGAGCAGTGGATATAATTGATTGAAAACTGGCTGAGCATCCAGTCCCAGAGTGATGATCAGTGGAAGTAAGCCTAGCTGTAGGCCACTAACTAGCAGTGTACTCCAGGGGTCAATTACTGGGCCAAATCATGTTCAAAATCCTGCAGCATCTCTCATGAGGAAAGGCTGAAAGAGATGGGGCTGTTTAGGCTGGAAGGGACAAGGCTCAGGGTGGCAATCTTACTGAAGTGTACAAACATCTGAACAGATGGTGTAAAGATGGTGCCAGACTCTTTTCAGTGGTACCCAGTGACAGGACCAGTGGTGACAAGCACAACCTGACACTCAGGGCATTCCCTCTGAACATCAGGAAACACTTTTGCACTGTGACGGTGACAGACTCTGCCCGGGGAGGCTGTAGATTCTGTCCTTTGAGACATTCACAATCCACCTGGACGTGGGCCTGGGCAGCCAGCTCTAAGTGACACTGCTTGAGCACAAGGTTTAGACCAGAAAACCTCAACCATTATGTGATTCTGTGAAATGTTGACATTTGCTTAAAAGAGGAAAGACACTTCACTGTATTTCCCCACTTTTTATTATTCTGACTTCTTCCAAAAATAGGTTAACAATGTACTTTCAAATGAAACTCAATACATGAAATTTAACAAAACTAGCTTTGACACACACAAAATGTCAATGAAACATTGCAGCACTTCTACAGTGTTGGCATTTTTCAGCCAGTTTCACGAGCACTAATTCTATCAGACAAGAGTCTTGTTTTCTTAATTTCAGCAGCAGAAGTGACTTCAATTCTACTGCTTTGGTGAAGCTTTAAGGTGTTCTTCTATACAATGAAAAAAATAATTAGGAGTTAAGAGGAAAGAGTATGACCTAACTACAGGGGGAAAGCAATGCAACTACAAACTCAAATAACTGGAACGCTTAACTCTCTAACAGGTATGTTCCTTCCTAGGCTTATTATAACTTTTCAAAATAGTCATGTACCATCAACATTTAAACTCTATGTAAACCTTACTAGCCAATGGCAGCTAACAGCTGCTGTTGACCCAAGAAGGACGAAGAAAAATCACGAAGTACTCACACCTTCACAGTAGTGGGTGGCACATAGAAAGCAGAGCAAACACCATGTTAGAAATCCCTAAGCCAGCTTTAAGAGATAGTTAAGAACTGATTTACCTATTGATATAATTAGGCTACATTCCCAAATAAATTATTTGGCTCTAATTTGGAGATTGCTATCTACATGTACTGGGGTGTGTACACACATAAACAGCCCGCCCTCCCAGAGTGAACTTCTATTATCCTCAAACACTAAACAGGCTCCTCTTTTAGATCATGGTCCAATACATGACAATGTACCTAATGCCTTAAGGACTGCAGTGAGGTCCCCATCACCACCAATAGCTCATCCTTCTGCTGAGCCTGTGTGAAATTTTATCAGTCAAGTAAGAAAACACATCCTAACATCTGTCTAATAAGTTTCAGGAGACATTAAAACTATCAAAAAGTCAAAGTCAGAATAGTCTTTAATATGATAGAAAACATTCAGTAACCTAAGTTCAGCAGCTGTTATTGATTACCGCATAGTCATACTTGGAAAAATGACATAAAGGTTTAAAACTTCAGAAGCTCAGTTCTTTCAGGGCAGTTTTGTACAGAACAAACTTGTTTAATCTTGAAAGCACCATCAAGTGACACTACATATCAGCAAGCACGAAAAACAAGAACATCATGGGACTTCCCCATGTAGACTACACTTTGAATACCACTAGGGTAGATTTACACTGCAGGCCTGAGCACAGCACAGAGGTGCTCCAGCTGACTCAGTTATTACTTGCCACTTAGCTCTGCATGCAATGTAGACATACCCGGTACGTCTGAACACATCTCATTAATAATCAACTGAGCTCTGCAGTACAATTTTTAGGCCCTCATTCTGCACTACCAACGTCAACAGTCATTTTTCCATCAACTTCAGAAAGTGCAGGGTCAGGCTTGTAATCACAAACATACTCTAACAAAACATTTGTTTGCAACATAAAGTTGTGTCAAGTTCAAAGATGAGTTTTGATAGCATGCAGACTGCTTACAAAGGCTTAAAAAGACTGGTTCAGAATCTGTCTTCTATATACACATACAAGTCCCTCTGTCACAGACAGGCAGTGTAATTCAGAACCATGAGCTTGCTCTAGTTTTTGGTAGTGTCCTGCACACTTCCGATAATTAAAAAATAAAAAAATAGTTGCCATAATGGATTTCTGACCATTCCAACTTGCACATGGACATGATCTCTTCTTGCTGCATCCACTGTGTGGAGTTTCACAGTTGCTTCTCAAATGCAAATACCAAGTAAATACCTAAAAAAGAAAATGGAGTATTTACAGTTTCACCTTCCTCCGTCACTCAGTTGAAGTTTTCAAAAGGTAAACAGGCTGATACTCTGCCCAAATAACTTGTTAGCAGGTTATTGAAAATTCTCAAAACTGCACTGGTTCCCCAATTAATAACTCTAGCATTCAATTCCAGCACATTTTTCACAACAGCGCTAAGAATGCACAGAAGCAAAACACTTTAAATATGTGGATATGGTTAATGCAACACTAACTTCAGTTAAAGATACTACTGAAATGTGAATGTAATTAATAAACTAGTAGTATGCTACATATAATTAACATCCACTGGTGCATAAAAATTCATATGCAACTAAGTTTAAAACTCCTTCATAAACACAGTAATGGACAATGAGGTATGAAATTATCAACTTCATTTATTTTTTTAATTAAAATGTGAATAAACTCATGGATTAATTTTTTTCTCTTTTAAAATATCACAGGCAAAGAAGTAGTATTTACAAACTCTAGATGGCATTTTCTTAACTCCAAAAGGATGATTCTAGAAATGCATACTCATACAGTCCATACTAGCACCCTTGGGAAATAATCAATGCCAGCTACGTCAGAAATTCTTATGCTTTGTACCAGACAGACAACCAGTTTCTTGAGACCATAACTCTAATTAAACATTTATGGATTTCTACCTGAACTCAGTTTTTGTTTTCATGGATGAGATGCCAGAGCTACATTCAAGACAAGCCTCAGGAATAGAGAAGTGAAGTTCCACGTAAGAAGAAAGCTGTGCTTATACCCTAATTATCAGAAGCTCTGTACTCCAAATCTCTCTGAAAAAAAGTGACTTGGAAATACAGGTTTCACTGAACATTCAGAGGTACAATACTTACTTGTTGCTTCCCATTCAGATTTACTCAAGGTTCCCTAGAAGGGAGACAAAAAAACAAAACCAAAAACAGTTTAAACAATGCAACACCGCTTTAACTCAGTATTATCGATCTTTCACAGACCAACTTCTAACCACCCACACTGGCTGGCTATTTAAGGACCAGAAGAGCATTACTGTAGATTACAGAGACTTGTAACTCCACTAACCAGGACAGTTGGGAATTGGAACACCCCAGATAATGGAACACACCTGAATTACACAGGTATAGGAGCACAGGCCAACAGCCTGTTGCGCTGGATGCCTCTGCAATGGAGAGCAGGCTAGTTCCATTACCATCAGTGTCCACTGCATGTTTGTGTGACCTGATCTGGCTCAAGCTGCTCAGCCTGAGATGCCCAACACTTGTGCATGAGTCAAGAAGAGGCCCTGTATCACAGTGCTGCCAGCTTCACCAGGAATACTGCCTGTCTCCAGCTAACACTTCCCTGCAGCCCTGAAAAAAACTCCATTTGCAAAAGAATCTCAAACCAGCTCACACTGTGAAAAAACAGCCTGCCTTGTAGCCTATAAACCTACTCCTAGCTCAGCCTTTCAGATAAAAGCATGGCAAGTGCACAAGTAATACAGTGCTGCTATTAAGAAGCATGAGGTAACAAAAGCTGGTTTTCTGCTCTGCCCACTGCATCCCCATCCAGTGAGTCCTCACTGGGGGCATAATTTATCCCATATGCTATCCACTGACCAGTCCTGACCAAAAGTTTCATCTTTTAAAACTCTAGTGGAAAAAAAAAGCTTGTTCAAGCAAATTTCCTCTTTGTCAGGTAACACAGCACCTAGCAAAAAGAGGGCTTTGATCTGACTTGACCATTCTCATTTGCATATTTCTTAAAAGAAGCATTTGCTTTTCAAAATTTTTAGATTTCAAACACAGATCAGGTTTCTTTCCCCTCTTGATGCAGAATTTCTATATATACAGTAAAAGAACTACTTCTTTAAGAATTCAGATCATGAAGAGTATATAAACCCATGGTTAAAAGAAAAACCCCAGTGGAAAAACTTCAAGCTGATCAGCCTCATGATGTACCTGTGACAATGAAATAGGATGCCATCTATCAGTAACTGCATATGATTTCACTAAAACTACAATTTTTACTCAAACTAGTCTCTAATTTTGGTTCTCTCTGTTAAAGAAAGTTCAACATCTGAAGCAGACCTAAAGCTCAGACTGAAACAGCCAACATTGTTTATCAGGAGCTATTCAGCACAAGTTAAACCAAGCCTTTGCAAGGTTTCCATCCTGCCTGATTGCTCAAATGCAGACAGAAGCAAGCACACAGCTATATGCTACTAGCCTGAATAACTAGCTTAGCTACAGATCAAATAGACAGGCAATAGCCAAATGGCAGCAATTCCTTGCAAAAAGTGTCAGCAGACATTGCCTGTCCTCCTGCTGGCTTCCCAGGAACAGGCAGCCGTGTGGGCTCCTGTCCATCATCCACCCAACTCTAAGACCAATATGAAAGAACAAAAGTTTGGGAGGGGAGCAGCTGCACACAATTCAACATTGTCAGGTACTCCTAGGACAATGGAAGCAAGAAAAACCCTTTATAAAAACATGAGGAAGACAGCCTGCCAAGGAAGGCAGCAAGTGTACTAGAAGATTGGAGGAGAAGCAAAAAAACCCCACCACATTTAAAAACTTAACAAAAGAAAGTTTCTCTCCATTCCAGAATTTGAACAGAATGTCATATTTAATAAAATTAAGGACAGAAATATAGGGATTTCGTTTAATCACTTAGGACTAGTCTAATTGTAGGAGCTCTGTTAAAAAATTAAATTAAGGCAAAGCAGATTTTTAAAAATAGCATTTACAGAATTTCAGTAACACTGGCTAAGAGAGCTGGATTGTCATCACCCATAAGGACAACAGAAAAACAATGTTTAACATTTCAAATACATACAGTATTATGAAGAAAGTTTTCAGCTCTCATGTAAGAGGGTTAAAAGAAGAAAACTAAAGCTTTCAATTGATAGTATGAAAATCCAGAAACATAAGGCAATTCTTCAAATTAAGAAGAGTTATTTATGTTAGAACAGCTGCCAAGGAAGTTGGCAAAATATAATTTTCTTTTGCATTTTTGCAAATTTCTTAATGGCTATCAAATTAAGTGAATTTGATGCTTTGAGTATAGGGCGTAGATTAGATTAACTCCTAAGCACCTGCAGCTCTACAATTTTTCACACGCAGAGAGACATTCATTACTGGAACAGGCTGCCCTGTTGTGGATGCCCCCTCCCTGGAAGTGTTCAAGGCCAGGTTGGATGGGTCTCTGAGCAACGTGATCTATTAGGAGGTGTCCCTGCCCATGCAGGGGGGCTGGAACTAGATGATCTTTAAGGTCTCTGCCAACACTAGTCTAGGATTCACACCAGTTTCTTTGTAGTTGAAATTAAGAGGGCACCACTTATCTGAAAGATCTCGACCTCAACTTCAGACTCCATTTGCTCTAGTGAAGTGAGAAGGAACTTACCAACGGTAACTTTGCCTTGCCATCTTTGACAAACTCTTTTGCATGCTCATAATCAGCAGGTTTATCAGAAACAAGCCGGGAATCACCAAATGTAGAATATGGCTGGAGAACATAGAAAAAAAAAAAGTTAAAATATTAACTGCACAGTAAGATACATTAATCACATTAGTCAAGTGTTTGTCACAACAAAGCCCAGTTTTAAGAGGATCTTACATTTAGATCTCTTGTTTATAACACCTACAAGATCAGTCTGATATTCCCTACTTCCCATAAAATCCAACACCCAGAATGTATAAACTAGCTTTTATCCTTATGTCTCCAAAACGGGGGAAAGAATAACTATAAAAATTATTCTTGGTGTACAACTATTACCTAGATATACTGTCTTTTAGAACAGCATCTGAACAAACCAGCATCTCTTAAGTAGAAGTACTAAGAAATGAGCAAGTGTAAGATTTCAAGCAGAATGCTTAAAATGCTATAATAACTCACAGGAACTCTAACAGAGGTATACAATTCATTATTCAAAACTAATATATACTGATTAAGGATCCCAGCTACTGCATAATGGTCTGTACTGGACAATGCAATCTTCAATTTTAAATGGCCACTAATTTAAGACAACTCTCACTTTTCTAAGAACAAGTGAATATGTCATACTGTCAGTGTGGGCCCCCACAAAGCACCATCCCTTTCAGAGTCAACAAGGACAGTCAAGTCCACTTGCTGCCCACATAGCCTTTAATTAATTGCATAATGTTCACAACAGAAATTTCAACTATTGCACTAGTAATTAACAAGATGTAAAATGTTATTTAAATGAAACAAGTTAACTCCGTATTTACCTCCAAGGCCTGCATTCTCTTTAGCAGCATTTTATGCTCCTCGTTCTTGATTTTTTCTTCATAGAATTCCCGAAATGTCATTTTATACACTAGTTTCATACCATGCTTCTTTGCCATTCTGTAAAAAGAATAAGGTTAATTAGGGAAGCGGCAAAATTAAGGTAATTTATTTTTTCAAAGGAACTATTTTAGGCAACAGCGACATAGTATTCTCTAGGATTACACCCTTTCCAGAATAATTTCTTTTTTTTTTTTTAAAGACAGTTAGATGAAAAAATGCACTACCACCACAAACTACTTTTTTGAATTAGGACAACAAAACTCCATGCAGAGGTCATTACAAACATTTCAATAGAAAAATGTCTCTTCTCCTAAGACACAGAAGCTTCATATGAACTTCCAGGTATTCACTATTATGGATATAGAGAACCTCTTTCTGCTAGATTTAGCGCCTTACAGTGTAGACATTGTGGTCATACAACGCTGAAGTTACACGTCAGTGGCAGATGTTGGTAATTTTCAGAGAGAACTACAAATTAAGTATGTGAAAATTTACAGCTTTGAAGGGAAAGTTTAATATTGGTTAAAAATCAAGCTGAGCTTGAATAGCAGGGAAAAAACCCAACATGGAAAACATTAGTCTACTTCAGGAGACAGGCTGGGAAAGAAAAATCTGAATTCACACAGAGGTAACAGCAAAATGTATGCTCACAGATGAAGATTCAGTGGAAGTAAAAAAAAGTTCTAGGAAAAATCCTAGAGCATCCAAAGAAAGTTGGAGAAGACAAGAAAGAGACACTATGATAAAGAGGATACACAAGAGAGCTTACTGGAGAATTGAGGAAAGGTAGAATTAGCCCCCCCAAAAAGTTAAGATAAAAAAAGAAGAAAAAGTTGACATCAGTAAAGGTTTGCTCACACATTCAACATATCAGATAGACATTCTTGTGTGAGACCTATTTTAAATCTCGACAGCTTCTGGCCAAAGCACCTTCAACTGAGTGCAATGGACAGATTAGTTGTGGATAGAAATGTCAGAAATGTCTTTAGATGGAGCAACACAAAAAATGAAGAACTGAAAAATATAATAAGAAAGCAAAAATATAATATTCTGTATTATGAAATGACAAATAAACTAAACAAATGCTTATTATGTTTCACAGATTTCACTGTATAATGAATTAAAAAATGAACTTACTCTTCCAGTAATGGAAAGTAAACCAAAAACTCAGGGACATCAACCACTTCTTCCAAGTGGAAATCATACTTGCAGCCAAACAAGGGATATTCTCCTTTCTTTTCAAATTTTACACTGTACACCTCATTCCCAAATGAGTTTGTTTCAGAAGCTTCAAGTCGCTTTCTATAAAATGAAATATAAACAATATTAATTGACCAGTTTTTAATTTAACAGGCCGAGAGAACTACTGAAACACTGAAAGTGTTTCTCCCAGTACTCCAGCATCCAGTGATCCCTGTGGTTTCCCACCTCCCTTAACTAGTAAAGCAATGAAACAATGAACTGAAGCAGCACACTAGGTTTTAGGAGTTTATCTTTCCTATACAATACAAGAGGGACTAAACAGACCTAGAAAATTGACCTTTATTCCAGACACAGTCTACATGGACAAGTCAGGCTTCTTGGAAAAACCACAGCAAAACCCTGCCAGTTATTCCCCAGGCTGTGGCTATTTTGCCACTATCTGAGTTGCAACAGGAGTCTTTATGTATGAAGATTTATACCCTATACCAGAGGAGCCACAGGTGCAAGGGATATTAGTACAGATTTACTTGTTTGAATCAAGTTTCATGAGTGAGATTTTCCTGACTAGAATCCAAAATCATTGCAAGAAACTTGCTTTTGATTGCATAAACACATCATAGCACTGTATGAACGACCATCACTTATCACTTAACACTTCTGAAAGACTAATAGAATACAGGAGTACTTACACAAGTTCAAAGCTGTTTGGAGTTGTGCCAATGAAATATCCTCCAGGAGAGAGGTTCCCACAAGCATTTTTAAGCATCATGTCAGCCTGCTCATATGTCTCAAATGAGTAATGGTAAACAAACTGACAGCTGCAAATGTCAAAGCGCATATCCGGATCATTGTATTTGGAAGACAAGAGATCCTAAAATAGATTGAAAAGAAGTTTGTAACAAAAGTTACAGAAACAACCATTACTCACTTAAATCTTCCAACAAATAAACTACTCCCATAATTCTTTCAAGTTTCTCCTTTCAGCCTCCGTTCTCTCAGAAGTTCAACAAGAACAAGATGAAAAAGGTGAGAGTAAGTTCTCTGCTACACAGAAAACCATACATAACATTTAGGAACAACAAGAATACACATACACATTTCAAAGTTATCGTGTCCTCAAATTTTTTTGTGTTGTTACATAACACCACTACATTTGAATGGCCGAAACCCAAAGTTAGTTACCAGAGACACTTTACTGCTGAGGGTTTACAACTGGCCACCATTTAGCTGGAAACAATTATTATAATAAAATTAATTTTCAGTTGACTAAGTCTCTGTAATGAGAACTGACCCAGTGAACATATAGTTTAGAGGAGATGGGGTTGTATTAAATATGGCAATTTGCCTGCCCATCAAGTTGTATTTGTCTTTATTGTCTGCATACATGTGTACTAACGTACTCCTCCCCACTCCAGACCAAGTAAACAATAACTCTGAAGGACATGGAGCCCTTGAAATTCATCAGATTACAGCTTGCCACAGTCTGACCCTGTACTCCTCAGTTCTCTAACTCTTATTGATCAAGCCCCTTCTGTTAGCGGTTGGAAGTGACCTCAAAAGTCTATATAGTCCAATCCCCCTGCCAGAGCAGGATCATCTAGAGTAGGTCACACAGGAATGCACCCAGGTGGGTTTTGAATGTCTTCAGAGGAGACTCCACAGCCTCCCTGGACAGCCAGTTCCAGTGCTCTGTCACCCTCACAGTGAAAAAGGTTTTCCTCATGTTTACAGGGATCCTCCTATGCTCCATCTTGTACCTCTTGCCCCTTGTCCTATCACTGGACATCACTGAGAAGAGCCTGGCTCCATTGTCCTGACACTTGCCCTTTATATATTTGTAATAATTAATGAGGTCACCCCTCAGTCTCCTCCTAGCTAAAGAGACCCAGCTCCCTCAGCATTTCCTCATATTACACAATACTAGTAGCCACCATAAATAACACAGAAGCTAAGTTCTCCTCAAGACATATGATATGCATTCTGTACTTAAAATATTTCATACTTAACAATTCTCCCAGACTTCCCATCTGCCCACTTACTCCCACCTCTACCAGTTCATACCACATGCCATCAACGTTCTGTATGTGGCAAGACAAAAACGGACACATACCCATAGAAATTTTATCTGTTCACTTACTCCCCCCTCCACATTTTGAGAGAGATACAGGCAACTGAGAAATAGAGGTGGGCAGAACTGGACAAGCTGTGAGGAGACTTTGCATTGTATACAACATAGATGATAGAGACACAAAGTCAGGGAGGTAAAATTGCGTGCGTGGACAGAAGAGAGCATGCAACAGAAAACACGTGCATGTAAGACTGAACTGTTAACAGCAACATGAAAATATCCCTGGCAAAGAAGGCTCTCTCCTGTCTATCCTAACTGTAATTTTAAGAGAAGAGAGGTGACGTGGAGCCTGCAACAGACTGTATTCCTCAGAAGGAGACGCAACCAAGAATTCAAGCCAACAACCATTCTTGCAAGGCTAGGAAGAATGGTTTCAGCCTTTCTACAGATATGCTGGAAGCAGCTCTGTCCCTTAGCCTGTTTCAGAAGGACACTCTCAGCCTGCATTTCTGGGAAGCAAAAGCAGTGCTAGTGATAAGATGGTATCCCCTAAGTCTCAGCAATGTCTTCAATATCTCCTCCAGACAGTCTCAGAAATCTGTTCTATCACACAAGTTTTTAAGATATGCATTATAGTCATCAAAATGCTGCCACAGAAAAAAAAATACTGGGATAAGAAGAATGTACAAGTTAAAACAGAAAATTTCCCTTATTCATTCCAGCATAAAAACCACTTTCACCAAGATAAGTTTCCAACATCCCATTCTTGCTCCCAGAAGTCCAGAAAGAAGTTGTCATTACCATCCCCTTGTTAAGTGAAAGAAACTAAAAGCACATTTATTATCTGAAAAAGACATTTAGTCGTCAGACATTCAAAATGTTACACTGTAAAAAAGTAATAAAAGTCATGTAACTACATCTCAGTAACTTGCATGGTTGATTCTTCTGATAGTACAACAAATTTTAAAAATATACATCCTAAAAATTACACCACTACCATCACTTCCTATATTTGATTAGCACAAGAATGTTAAATCTCAAAAATATTATAAAGCATAGGAACTGTACCTTGGTGCTATCTGCTTGTATAAATTCTGCATCAAAAATATGTTCGTTATAACGGCATCGGGCTTTCATGTCTTCATATCGCTGCTTGCACTGCTGCACAGAAATATCAGCAATATCTACACAGAGAGAGATTATTTTTTTTTTATTTTAAAAAGTGTGTAAACTGCTCCCCAGACAAGAAAACTGCAATGATTACTGGAACATAGCAAATCCATTACAGCAAGGATAAAAGCTGATCTTCAGTCACATGTTGCTGGGAACAAACACTTATTTCCAATTTCTAGCAAAGGAATTTAATTAGCAGGAGGTGTTTGGAACTGTAGCTCTGTCATTTTCTGGCTCTACTTCAGACAAAAGCTGTAATCTGAAGATCTGAGAAAGCCTTCAAAATTTCAAGTGATGGATACTAGGTGATCAATACTAAGTGCTGTTAGAATTAAGTTTTCAGTATGCATTAGCTAACCAGTTTAGCTCCCAGAGTTTCTCCCTGTTTCCCAACTGGGTACTTAAAGTTTTCCATCTTCTTACAAACATACAAGATGTTGAAATGCAAGTATTTGTAATATAAACTGATATATTGCACCATGGGAATTTTTTAATTTTGTTTTTAAGGCTGTCTCTCTGGCATTGAGTCTCACTAAATAGTATTAACAATATGCAATAAATTTATATAAGAACTTCGTAAGCAAATTCATTAATTGTATTTGAAAACTGCAAACTAAAGAAGAAAGGCAAGACAGAACCATAAAATGTCAAATACCCAGAGTAACTCCCAATAAAGCAATTTAATTAAATTTTAGTATCTGTTAAACCTGAAGTTAAGTAGTACTTCCTCTGATTACCCTTGGCACGTTTTAGGTAGAAGAAAGATATTATCACCTTACTGACATCTAAGCAAACTATTAAAGTGAAAATTAGTTAATCAGCTTTCAGTACTTCCAATTCCTGAGTCTGAAAACTTTTGTTTGATGTTAATATCCAAGACCATTTCTGTCAAACCACCATGGCATTTAACTTTAAATTAAACTCTTAGGTACATATTTTTAAAAGAGATGAGATAAAACAAAAAATGTCAGTCTTCCACCCAGTGTTACACTTGGCCTAAAACAATCTGTGGTAAGTGTATTTCTTTACTGATAGTAGTTTTTGTGTAAGAGTTGAATGGAAAGCTCATTACACAAAGTTCTTATATTTATGCCGGCAATCAAGCTGGTGTCTTCAGGTTAAAAAACAAAAGAAGACTTTTTGACAAAAGTTGTATCATTATATTCTTGGGCTTGCTAGAAAAGGAAATAGTAAAATACTGGAGATGTGCTTGGTTTTCTGCATAAAACAGTGGTGTCCTTCCCCTGGAAAGTTACTCTGTATTCTTACCAGTACAGACAAGTTTCTTAATTCTTCCTTTTTTCCATTTCAGTAAGTCTCCACCTTTGCCACATCCTAGATCTAAAACAGTTATGTCGCTCTTTTTCCGTCGTACCCGGTCTATAAATTCACCTAGAAAACATGAAAAGGGAGAACGCATTTAGAGATCTACATAATTCACTTGTGTTGTACAGAGATCCTTGAAGGACCAAAACTATTTGAGAATTTTAAAACGTCTCAGAACTTACTTTACCTTTAAGTCTTCTTAACATTACAGCCTTAAATCTCTTTCTTGAGTAAACACTAATGATGAAAGGAACCAAAAACTAGTAAAACTATGGAGATAATGAATATTTTCTGTGCTTAATGCATTTTGCATGTAACGTGACTGGAGCTCTGAACTGTTTCCCTGGCAGACAAAGGCAAAACTGCACACGGCTAAACAATCACCCTGTTCGTAAGTGGGGAAATAGGGTTCCTTTTCATTACCATTATAATGAAGGCAGATGTTATTTGAAAGTATGGGAAAGTCTTTTGCAAAAGAGTAAAAGCCAATTAAACGCATCAGCAACAACTTTCCCTTGTGGTGACATTATAAATGTGCATAATGTTCTTCACTCAGTTTCTCCTCGGCCTCCAGTAACACTAGCTGCTTGTTTGCTGTCTTTTTACCCTACATGTACCAATTTCATTTTCTCTTCATCTCCACTCTGTCCAGATTATCTCTGCTCTGACTGATGTTGACATACTATGCAAAAACATACCAGCATGCTAGCAACATTTCTTCACAGTAAGAGACCTGAAATGTGTTTGGATACAACTGCTATAATGCCACACTGCTGAAATTTATAACTGAAAGGTTTCAACACAGGCTCCAGGAACAGCTATATAAACAGAAACTTTGCTTCTAAATGGTCTGACAAAACACAAAAAGCAGCATGTTAAGACAAATAGTGCCAACACCTCCTGGCATAGGTCGCTCTTCGTTAACCTGTGACACTGTGCTGATAATTATTTTCTTTGTTTGTGGGTATCTGATAGTTTAATTTCCTCACTTCGAGATTAGTATGTGGGATAGCAGACTTGGCATTTTATAAAAAATGATGTATTCCTGAAGAACTACATCCTCTAGTTTTGTATCTTTTAAAACCATTGACTATGTGTAAAACAGAAAATATTTGTGTGTTCCCATTTCCTACAGAACTGCTTAATCTAGAGCTGAGGATAGACTGCTTTGGGAAAATGGTTATGGAATAACTGGAGATAGATTTACATAATGAGAACAGCCCAATCTAACAAGCACAGATAGATTCTTTTTTATCTAAAGCTGTACCTTTCTCTTAAATGTCATGAAGAATGGTTTCCAGTATGAACTTTTTTTCAGGTGAGATTATCTTTAAAACTTTAGCATACATTCAACACTCCAACAATGTAAAACACCAATATGAAGATTCATATAAAAATATAATTTATTGCACTTGAAAAATCTACATATTAAGACAAAGTGCCATTATCAACATCAGATAGCAGAAAAACCATTATGATACAATTTATTAAACTCTACATATTCAGTGGAGGAACCTTACCAATGAGGACACTCTTTGTCCAATTATTAAAGTTTCGGAGGTAGAATATGCGAGACTGGCTACGTTTTTCCAAACCAACTTCTTGAAGTTCATTATAATGTGCAGCGACCGCTTGCCCATGGCCTTGCACACGCTGTAGAAACAAGGGAAAGAATAAACCCAAGCAGTGGATTCATTTTATTACATTTTCATTTAATCAAAAAAACCTGTTCAAATTAAGGATAAATGAAGTAAAAAGTTATACTATGAAGACCACTACTATTACATATATAAAAACTATTACATATATTTCCCATTTCTGATGCCTGCACTTAATTATTACAGAGACAACTCCCTTAAAAATTTAATCCCCTTTTCAGCTGGTCCCAGTAATTTCTGATGGATGATGCCTAGCACCTTTCATTCACAGAAATACTTAACTTTCAGTTCTCTAATGCTCTGATGACTCTCAAAGAGTCTGTTTAATTCCCCTTAAGCCTGGAACTGAAGAAGAGGATATTCCTTCTTAAAGAGTATTCTTTCAGCTTTAAGCTTCTCCAAACACCCTGATACAGAAACTCAGTTTTTACATCTAACAGGAGTGTATAAGCTGCAAATTTAGGCAAAATGCCAACTAGCTGGTGCTGCATAAAGCCCTAAGCAGGTGATCACACTATCAGAGCTTCAAACAGACCACGGTAAAGGAAAGAGAGTAATGACTTGACAACCAGATCCCATTTAATGCTTAACAGTAAGCTGTAAAAATGTCTCTGTTTCAACCTTAACTGTAAGTAGTTCAATAGATTTCCATCCCATGTGACACAGAGAAGCAGCCTATATGGAAGTATTATGGTCCTAACATTTCTTCACCTTGAAAATAATCTTCAATTATGCACATAAAATTAAAATAAATTATAAATAAAATACAAAGTAACAGAACACAGAGAACCAACTTCTGTGACGCACAGAAATGTTTGAAACAACAGTACAAACTAGAATGAAGGATCCTCAGTTAAAATCCACAAGCATGCTACAAAGCCTCAACCAGTAGGAGTTCACACAGCAATTAAAAGCATTCCCAAAAACTGACTACAAAAGTCAACATTCCACTATCTTATTATTCAAATAGCAGTTCCTTAAGGGAAAAGAAGGTTAGATTGACTTTCATATAATATACGAATTCTTCAGTGTTTCATAAAATTTTGGTATTCTTCAGAATGAACACAGACATAATTGTCTGGAATTGCTATGACCCCATCATTTGTTTAGTACCATGCTCAGCTGACTGATACTAACAAATATTTTGACCATCTTGTTTTTTTGGGTAAGCACAGATGGCTCCCTGAATGGCCCTGAAGGTGACAGAAGCTAAAACAGCTGACTTTGACAAGCTCAGGGACATACTCATACCATCCATTAACGCATTTCAGCTGCTACAAGCACAGTTGCAAAGAGCCATTAGCAAAAACATCTAGACAATGGCAGATGCATTCAGTGCAATAACCTCTCTACACCCTTAAGCTACATAAAACCAATGTATTTCTTGTCCATCTAAACCTTTACCCTAGAACCACCTAATTAAAAAGACAAAAGGGTAAATAATGTTTCTACCACAACAAGGAGTCCTCTTTATTTTAGTAGATTGTTTAGTCATAAATTAACATACTGGAAAAATTCTGAACAGAGAAGCAAAACATTAGGTCAAAGATTTTAAAACTATACTTAAATATCAAAAAATGTCAAAAATAGACTGGATATTCCAGCATGAGTTTCTACATGCTCATATATAATAAAGGACAGCATAATATATAACATTACCCTTTTCACCCTCACAGTTAAAAGAACCAATATTTTCTGCTACTCTTCCAGTCTTGGGGGGGAAAAAAAGAAGGTAAAAAAGCATCTGTAAACCTTTCAGTACCTCACTTTGCTAATGAATCATACTTAAATTATTTCACAGAGCATGCATTTTGGAGCATTTTCTAACATCCACAAAACCTTACTGAGGAAACCAAAGGACAAAATTGTCTTATGGAAGATATCCCATGCTCAGACAACCATACGAACACACCGGATAACAATGAACAGAACATCAAACAGAGACACGACTCAGAATAATGGCAGCAAATCCTGCACTGCACTACCAGATTGCTACCACACAGGCAATGGAACAACAATCTTAGACCCAGACTAAGAATGTGCTGAGATCAGTTTTCTTCAACACTAGAATTAGTAGCCCTCTTTCTCTTCTGCTAAGCCCAACGTAACTTCTCCATCTGTTATTTTGCTAGGAACCTACCAACAAACTTTACCATCAGGTGTCTTGTGCTGGTTCATACGCATTTAGCATAAATCTTTTCAACCTTTTGCTGAGCTGAGGCTTCAAAACAAGTACTTGAACAATGCTCAAAGTAAATGATACTTACTACTTTCTGAGGAGGTTCATCTTCAGGATCTAAACTCTTTCTTTTTCCTCTGCTGTCCCGATCACCACTATCAACTTCCTTTTCATTTTCAGTGGAGTGCACTGTACCTGAGGTTGAACTGTCACCTTTGCCACCAATGCCTGAATCTGCCTCTAAAGTAGGAGGTGTTTTTTCCACTTCTTCATCCAAACTCTTCTCTACTTCCTGTTCTTCTGTCTTGGTTAAATCAGCCATTTTTCACAGGTTAGTCTCCTTGTCCGTTGATCAGAATGGACACCTATAGAGCAGAAAAAAATCCCACCAACTGCATTTAGTGCTGAATTTCACTAACTCGTGGTTATAGTCATAACTTTCAATCATCACACTGGCATTATAAAAAAAAGCAACATGCCTTGCCAGAGAGAACATACAGATTTCAAATTTGACTAGTTATTTAATAAAGACAGCACAATAAAACGTGGAATTTCAAAGTATTCTATATATTATAGTGTACTCTATAGTACACTAGAATTAAGATCAAGTTAAGATAAATCTTTACTCTTGATGTTCGAGTCCTTCTTAGCCATGTTCATTGATCCCATGGCAAAGCACTACTGGTTTTGAGCCTGTAACCTCCCTTTTCCCCTCCCCATAGAAAGCAAACTAGCAGTCCATTTATATTTACAAACGCAAGCTGACAAGAGTCATTATCTAATCTCATATGTTTTCAAATGGATGCCCTCAGACAAAAAAAACCAAACAACCAAGGCATTTCTTAGGAGTAAATTTTCACATTAGTTGAGGATTTTCAATATTGCCAAGAATATCCACTATGCCTCAAGCTTCACTCATAGTAGGACTCTTCAGCTGCAAGGACCTTTCTGTATTTCCACTTCACAAACACCTACCCATTCTGCAGGACAGAAAATCACCGCTATAAAAGCTCATTTAGCCTCCAGCACACCCCAGCCTGCTCCACACCATCATAGAATCATAGAATCTTAGGGGTTGGAAGGGACCTCGAAAGATCATCTAGTCCGACCCCCCCTGCCAGAGCAGGGTCACCTAGAGCACATCACACAGGAACGCATCCAGGTGGGTTTTGAATGTCTCCAGTGAAGGAGACTCATCAGAAAGAAGGGCTCATAATTTTTCAACAAGGCATAGGAGAGGGTAATTCAGCAACTCATTTTCTAAAACAGAGGTTTATTTCAGCCTAGCAAAAAGCATTCACCCTCCACCTTGTTCAGGCTTCAGTCTCCTAATAAGGGCCAAAACATCTTCATTAAGTGGATCACTACACAGAGACTCCAAAACCACTACCTTCAAAAGCACTGACTTACAGAAGTAACTTTGCCACCCTGGAACTGCCTTTAACTCACACTTCTGAAGAAGCACTCCCTTTCTTATCCTCTCCTGGCTGCTCCAGGCAGTTATCAGCTGTTTTTAAGGCCTAAATTAAAAAATGACCAAAATGTCAGAGCCCGCGATGGCAGCCAAGCGCCCGCGGGGGCGGCTCCTTCCGAATAAAGTCTGGAAAACTCAAAAGCGCCAGTGGGACGGGATGGAGCTGCAAAGAAGCCAGAGAAGCTGCAGGGCCGCCCCCAGTGACCACCGAGGCCCTCAGGGCTTCTCTCTGCGTCACGGGAGGCTGCGCTGCGGCAGCAGCGCGTCCCGACACCAGCGGGCGGGCAGGCAGGGGCCCTGCGGCGGGCCGCTCCAGCG